AGCCAGCATCTTATTTGCAAAATAAGAGCTCTTTCGACATCCACTCCAGCTTTGAATCGGTACTAAAAAAAAAAAGTACTTGTGAAACAATGCTGTGGTTTGTGTTTCCCTGGTACTTGTATTGTTCCTGTAAACCGTGCAGTGCTCCCCTGAGTAGCCGGAACAGTGTCCACTGTCACTTCAGGCAGAGTTGACTCACATGCTGCAACGTCAAACCACACCACTGATTGTTTGAGGCTTTATTACATTACATTACATGTCATTTAGCAGACGCTTTTATCCAAAGCGACTTACATTACACTTTAAACCCACGGCTTTTTCACATTTTTGCCCGGGGAGCAATTAGGGGTTAGGTGTCTTGCTCAGGGACACTTCGACATGGAACATGGGGCAGCCTGGAATCAAACCACCAACCTTATGCTTCCCTGCACACCTTCTCTAACCACTGCGCCACGACGACCCTTTATATGGTTTTTGCTCTGTATTTACATGCCCACATGCATCTATTTTAGTGCACAGGTGGTTTCCGGTCCTGCAAAACCGAACTAGGAGAAACGTTTCCGAGGAAGGAACTGAACATTGCCCGTCTCTCGCATCCTGCCGCCTCAGATAATGCGGTCCACCTAGACAGCGCTGCAGGATCGCTGATGCACTGAGCCTGGAGATTAGAGCAGCCGGTGCACACAGAGCAGCAGAAAGCCCTGTGAGTCTGGATCCGCTATAGGTACTGCTGAGATCGGGTCATTGGGTTAAACCCTAAGCTGGTGTCTGTGCTTTCATGTGGCCTCCGGCAGAGCAGAGGCGGGGGTTTCATCTGATAAAACGAAGAGAACATTCAAACTAGCCTAAATTTTCTCTTACTTCTACTTTCTGGAGATTGGAAGTGGGAGGAGCGAGAGAGGTGGAGGTATGTGAGAGTGAATGATGTGCTGGTGGTCTTTACATCATTAGGACCTCCCTGGTGTCTTTGATGGCCAGAGGGAGAAGTGATGGAGATAGAAAAGCTGAGGCCTCCTTCCCCTCCTCTCTCAGCTTCCTTTCCCACCAAACATTTCATTTCTCAGCTTCCTTCAAGGCCTTAACCTCTCCTGTCTTTACACCTCTTCCTCGGCCATCCCCCGGTTCCCCATCATGTCTTCATTAGTGCCCCAGAACCCAGTAGTCCCAACAGCAAGAGCTGACACAGGGGTCTGATTTGTCAGGCCCCCCGTGTCACCCAACGATCCATCAGATCCATCAGGCCGGTGCCAGGGACTCCTCTGGGATCGGGCCTTTGTTTGGCTAAGCTGCTGACTGAGGCGAAGCCATTAAGGGAACCATTAAGAGCGCAGCGGGCCCAGACAAATGAGCCGCCCCTTGTCAATCCACATCAGGCCACCGGTTGGCAGATGTCCTCCTCAGACGTCACCCCTGTCCACCGCCGTGTGTCCGTGGGCCTTTAAACTCGGGACAACGAGATGGACAGATGATGTGAAGCGGCCGCGAGGCGCATCGGGCTCGACTCCCGGTCTGTTTTTTTTTATCTGAAGTTGTGTTGAGGAATGATCGGTGAAGGAGGAGTGATGAGAGGTGGCTTCAGTGGGCCTGTTGTCATAGCTACTGACGATGGAGAGATATAAATAATAATATTGATCCGCGAGACCCAGTTGGAATTACGATAAATGGTGTTGCGGCAAAAGGTGTCTTTTTATTCAACTTTGTTGCTTGAGCCCCCCCCTCCTCCCCTGCTGTGCCAATGCAGTGGTTTCATTGAAGTGAATGAGACACTGTTTTGTTTGATCTTTGGCGCAGTGCCGGCCTGAAGCTCCCACTGTCCTCGAAGACGACTATGGATTATGGTAGGATTATCATAATTACTTGTCGGATGGCTTTTTTTTTCTTCTTTTACATTCAACTGCACAAGTACCTTCCAGGAGAGACTGTGTGAAGACGTGTCGCTGTAGCCGCGTTTAAAACCATCGACGGGTCTCGCAGCTCGGTAATTCTGACTCAACTTAAGAAGAAACTTAAGTTATCTTCTATGGATAAAGCCCTTAGTCCCGTTTTCAAAATCCTGCGGCGGCACCACGCCATTTCTGAATGACTCTGCGTCCTCTCTGCACATTGTCTCCTCAGCCACCTCTGTGTGTGTGTGTGTGTGCGTGTGTGCGTGTGCGCCGTGACAGAGATGGAACACGTCCACCTTGCGTAACTCGGCCTCAGACTAAACACACTCCTCTGGTGTTGATGCGTCAGGGCAGCGGCTGCCTCTTAACGATGGCCAACTTATCTCATTAGAAAAATAATGATTTCACTGGCAGATAGCCCCGGTATTTGTCTTCGTATGTGTCCTTCACTGAGCTGCCGCGTCCAGGGATTGGCCCTCATGCCTGCCTGTCGTATATCAGCAGCGCTGCCACCGCCAGGCCTCTGATTTATGGCTGTTTGTCTCCAGTCAGCCCACCACCACCACCACCCCCCTCGACTGCCCCGCCCCACCCACACACACATATGTACCCCCACCACCCCTCCAACAGATGGGCTCTAGCTATTTACTCAGGGAGAGAAAGATCCCTAACCGAAATAAATATAACAAACGAAAGGTAATTATGGAGAAGTTGGTTGTGATTACAACTTATTGTTGAGCAGAGAAAGCGGAGATTGATCCTTGTTTATCAGGTGTGACCTGATCGCGTGTCCTGGATTAATCGGGCCGTGTTAGGTTTCCCTTCTTATCTTAATTACTTTTTCCGCTTCAGACGGTCCTGGTCAGTGCGAGAGTGCACCTTTTTTTTTTTTTTTTTTTCATACATACGAAAACGAATCTATTGCGAGTCCTGATGTGATTTATGTTTATTAACAGTGAAATTGTGAAAACATTCCTTCAGCTGTCATGTCCTACGGGGTTGTTTTTTTTCTCCTTAAATCTCTGCAAGTATATTCAAGCTCTAAATCTCGATGGCTGTCAGATCTTCACAGAGAAAAAAAAACACATTGCACCATAAATTGTCTGTTGCAGACTTCGAGGGGCTCCAGATGATTTCTGAGTCTCTGGAGAAAAGCCGTCAGTATTAACTGGACAGTATACATTTTTCAAACCATATTGTTGCACAGTTTTCAGTACCAGTAGGCATGAGACTTTTTTTTTCTTTTTTTCAAATTGATGGATTCAAACCAGATTTCGACCCTTGCACCGGTCAGTCCTAAATTCTGATTCCTGGTTTATGTTACTCATAATCTGTTAAACAAAATCATTTTGGATGTGAGCAGACAGGTGGACTGAAACATCCTCCTCTACGTATTCCATTCCACGGAGACGCGTTGGTGCGGTGGGATTTATATTATTAGGATGATAGATGGATCCACTGAGTGCTGATTAACTTAAACACAGACAGGTATTCACATGGAGACGTCTCCGTCCGGGAGAGTCTCAGAGAAATGTCTACCATTCGGATACTCTTGTGGGGGGAATTTAATTCTGTATATTACTGGTAAGAATTAGCTCCTTGATGAGGTTGACTCCGCCAGTCGTCACATCTCACTCATCTGCTGAGCGGAGCCTCGTACGCCTTATCTTTCCCCTGATTAACTCGTGATAGAGTGTAAGGGATCCAGGCTGGCTCGTATGCCAGATGTAGAATATTAGTGGAGCTTTTAGAGGTGATGTAATGTTTTTTTTTTTTTATGGGGGGGGGTAAACCAGACTTTTTTTCTATTCAAACAGTATTGTTCACTTTATGTTAAGTCTTAATAGTGTCATATTCTAATTATTTGCTTTATATGTTTATAAATTGTTATTGGAGGATTCTACAGATTGTGTTGCGGTTTATATAAATATGCACCGAAATATGGTGACTTCCGCAATAACCATGGAATGCCTGTATAACTTCAACGCGACTAAATCAAAAGAATTTGCCATTTTTGAAACCTGCAAAGAGCAGATGAATCATTTCCCTGCACATGAATCATGTGCTATAGAACGTCACATTTTTATATGATATAAAAAATAGCTCCCATAGTCATCTATCTACCATTGGAAACCAGTGACGCTCACATCGACAAAACCCTTCAAGCATGCAATTGAAACCGCTGGGTGGTGCTCCGAAAAGACAATTAAATCCATGTTGGACAACATAATAACACAATGAATGAGAAATGCATCGCTTGGTGGGACGAAGGGAAAAGCGAAATCTGGAGCCAGGGGGGGCGGGAGGCGGGAGGGGGGGCGACGGGTTCAGCTCGGTGGACGTCCCGACTGCCGTGGATCAGCACTCTTGAGTTAGCGAGTCCAGAAGATTTCTCTGCAACACCTCCGCCTCTCGGGTTTCCTTTTGTTATTTTGTTTATTTTCCAGTCCCACCTCAGCATAGCATGTGTGTCCGTCTGCACCGCGCCCCTCCGCTCCCACGCGTGTTGCGTATATTATGATAGCAGGCTGGACCCTCCTCGCATCACCAGCAGCCCCTCTCGCTGGCACGATCAGGCGGGCGATGAGCAGGAAGGAAATTACCTCATGGCGTTTCTGATGAGAAACGCCCCCCCCAAAAAAGCGCTCTGTCTCAACCACAAATTGAACGTCATTAAAGTCAATTAAACAATTAGTACTTCACATTTCACACACACTTTATTTATCTCCGCTTAATTAGTGTGCGTTTCGGGCTACGCGGATGCGGCTCTGTGTGCTGTGTTGCCTTTCATGACACGTAGGTCTGTCAGACCCGCCGCTATTTGTTTAGCTGTGGTCTGAGAGAATACAGGTGTCACTCAGACGGACTTAGGAAAATGCAGAGAGGCCCGAAACATAAAGTGGAAATGTTAACCCAATAACGCTAGATAAACAGTCCGCGGAAAGGAGCCAAAAACAACACAGAACGAAGGGAAAGTGTCCTGCTGGCATCGGGTTTCCCAGAGTAAGTGTTATTTGAAAAGCAGCTGAAGGGTGACACTCACTCTCCTCCCACCCAATCTCCCTCCCTCCCTCCCTCACTCAATCAACCATCTGTTGTTCCCTCTCTTCTCAGGCTGCTCTAAGTGCCTTGAAACAGCTGTCGGAGCAGGGACTGGACCCGGTGGACGGCCCCATCAAGGTACGGTAGGAGTTGCATCGCGCTGAACGCAGACAGGCGCTCACCCCGCCGCGCGTTTGTATCAATCGGCCGATCAGGGCGGACAGATGCTTGTCTAGTGAGGAGCCAGATGTGCGTGCCTGCACACGCGTGTTTTTGTCAATCGCCCTTTTTGCCAATCCTCAGCGCTGCATCAGCTCCCAAACAAACACACACACACACACACACACACACAGCGTTTCTCCTCCATATGGAGGCAACAATAGGAGTATATTTATATGCACGACATATTTATTTCGGTACTTTGCATGATGTCTATCGCGACTAAGGTTTAGTCATGGCGGAAAAGAGGTCTTTCCCCACAGGCCTTCAGTCAACAACGAGCAAGGGAGGGGAGGAAGGAGCATAGGAGGAAATCTCTATCAAGCATTTCTGGAGTATTTTCATAGTAGGTGCGCCCTGGGAAAAAAGTGCATTTAGAGCAGTGGAGGGTTTTTTGCATCCTTGTCTCCTTTAGAAAGGAAGAGGAGAGAAACCAAGAGAGGAAAGACAACTGCAGCGTAATACCACCTTCATTTATGTCCTGAGAGGGGAAAATATAGGAGCAATTACACTCTACCCTCTTGGCCTCTAAAACTCATTTAGTCGCCCTTGTTGTTAACACATTTCTGTTTGTCAGGCTTCACATGACTGCAGTTCTCATCATGAAAACACATTTCTCCCCCCAAATCAGCTGCTTTTCTCTTTCTTCAAGACCCCCACACATATTTTCTGTTAAAAACCAGAGAACAGGAGAAAGTTGGTGTGAAACAGACTGAGGTCAAGGACTTGTGTCGAGAGTAACGGCGGCGGCGCTTTTGTTTTTTTCTTTTTACCAGAATCCCTTTGAAGTCATAATTTCCTGCATCAGATCCTGAGATCTTTGCGAGGAACATCGAGAACAAATTGCCGACCGCATGAACGATTATTAACCGCTTTGCAGGATCTGCCCTGACCCGGTTCTGTTTGTGTTTTCAGACCAGTGAACCATGTGGGAGGGAGGACGGAGATTAAACAGACTAACTCAGGCACCACCACTCAGGTCTGCAAGGATTCAAAGGCTGTCGTCAAGGAGCTGACCCCCCCCCCCTCCACCCCAAAGTCCCCCAACCCCACGATCGCCACTGTATCCTGCAAAACCTGTAGACATGCAATAGGGTGGATGTGCACCGAGAAAGGACCGACTAAAACACCATTACCTGAGTCTATGTGAAGACAACGCTATATTAACACCGTTATTGATGATTTCAGTCGAAATTTAGAGAACAAACAAAATATAAGAAATGAAACACAAACTAATGAGACAAATGCATGGTACTGTATGAAATTAAGGGAAGTTCAAAGTGATACACTGCATAGACAATTCCCCCTTTGGGTGAATTTCTTTTGGTGGGGTTAAAGACAAATATGTACATCATGCCATTGAAACCCAAAAGAAACATTTTAGGGGAGAAACCAACTTGCGTACAGTAGCTTCTTTTTTTCGGGGGTAATATGTTTCTGTTTTGGTTTTTTTATATTTTTATTTTACTAATCTAACAATGCTTGAGTACTGTATTTAAAATTAACCAATGCCAGTGCTGTGAAAGTTGTAGTTGTTGTCTTCATATATAGTCACCCAGCTTACCTTGTATGCTGACATAAAGAAGAAGAAAAAAAAGAGTTCATCTATCTATATGGATGTGTATGACTTGCAAGAGTATCATGTTCCGAGAAATAACATTTTTGTTTTTTTCATCTGAACAAAAAGGACAAAACTGGTGTTTGCAGTAATCAAGTGTTTGACCACCCAGGAGAGAAGGTCGGACTAACCTTTCCTTCCTGAAAGGTCTCACTCTCCCGCCTAACACGACCCCTCACTGGCACAGCATCACTGGAGCATCCACAGACCAAAAGCGGAGGCGAAGGGGGGGCCGCCGCAGTAGTATCACTTTTTATCTAGAAAAGGGGGGGCCAGCGGTTCGTATTTTGCTCGTAATCTCTGCCACCAACGCGCCACTCCAGAGATTTTACGGCCGCGACCGCATGTCCTCCGGTGAATGAAAAAAGTCCTCTCCATTCCAGTGATTTTGTGTCAGTGGATTGTCTCCCCCCCTCCCCCCGCCACAGTTTTGTCGATCACATCTACACCCATTGTGTGTGTGTTGTATTGACCCGCCAAGGCATCAACTGGGTGCTTTTAATGCCTGCAATTCTGTCTGTGCGTCTTTTGAGCGGAGAGAGTCTGTGCGCGATCCGACTCGCAGACTCTCTTCCCCCCCAAAGCCCACTTTGTTCACTGACATTGAGGACATGTCTTCTTCTTCGCTGTGAGTACAATGTGTAATAAGGCTGTTGCTGTTACTGAAATGCAGTAAAAACACCTCAGTTCATGTGGGGAAAAAAAAATGGTTCTTTGTGTCTCATTTTCTTCTTTTAACGCGTACAAACGCAGCGCCGTCCAAAGGCAACGAGCCTCAAACGAAGCAAATACTCCCATTTACATTACAGGTCATTTAGCAGACGCTTTTATCCAAAGCGACTTACATTACACTTTAAACCCATGGCTTTTTCACATTTTGCCCGGGGAGCAATGAGGGGTTAGGTGTCTTGCTCAGGGACACTTCGACATGGAACATGGGGAAGCCTGGACTCGAACCACCAACCTTACCTTCTCTAACCCCTGCGCCACAACGACTCCAGTGATGAATCGACAGCCAGCCATTAATAAAAAACAATTAGTTAAAAAACAATTAGGATATTATCTTAAAGACATACTTAGTAGCTCATTCTGGTACTTTCAACCACATATATGCAAATTTCTCATTTGTCATCAAGGTTTATTTGGTTGTCTTCACATTACTAGACTTTGGTCACCTGATGTTATTGAAGGCTTTGGGAAAGTCTAGCAAGGGGACCTCGAGTCGAGGTCAGTGTAACCCAAGAGAAAGAATATGCTTTCAATCCAAAGGCAGTTTGGAAAAAGTTGGACCTTACAACAAGCCTCTCTTGAGGTTCTGATTCTGAAATCACTAAGATTTTACTAAAGTGAGCGAATCCAAGAAACATTAAGAACTTCAGAATTTTCTCAGAGAAAAAAAGACTTAACCTCATAAATAACATTTATCGTTTACGTCTTAAATGCCTATGCTACTGCATTCATTACTCATAATGGCTAATAATATTTAACAGGCACATAACAACAAATTGGGTAGTTTTCGTCCCAAAAAAATCAAATCGTGGTCCATTACGTTTTAATGTGTGTTGGTATTCCAACTCTCTTCATAAGTGTATCATGTATCGAATGCCAACGCCTATTGTTTGACTGTATAAATCATGCAACGACTCTCCAAGCACATTTATCTGCAGCCCAACTCGCTGTGGTTCAGCCGAAGCAAACAGAGCCCTAAAAAGACGTTTACATACCTTCAACAAATCCTGTGGGAAGAACAAACTAAAATTGCAGAAGTCCGTCTCACGCTACTTTTTGACTTCTTCTACATTGTCTGTGGCCCTCAGACGCGCTCTCATTCCTACAGACATTTCAGCTCTTTAAAGACGTTTTGTGAAACCGCTGGCCATTTGTACATTTTGCACATCCTGCAGACTATTTTGAAGTGTTGAGGGTGATATGGGAAAAATAGGCCATTTTGAAAATCGAGAATATTCCTGCGTTATATCGTTGTGCGGCATTTTCCAAAAAAAACCTGCTGGTTCACCAACCGTTTGCCAGTAAGACGCGCAGACACGCGGCCCAGACTATCTGAGGACTTTCCGAGGCCGAAGGCCCGTTTCGTGTCGCCGTGTACGAGTGCTTTAAACCTCACAAACGAATAACTACCACCTCCTGTAATGTCATGACAAACCTGTTCATTTGCGCTGCAGACAAAAACCCTGTTTGCGTGTTTCCAAATAGACTGAAGCTTTCTGAAACTGGAGTGTGTGCGCGCCTGCATCTACCAACCACCACCACGTGCACCCCCCCCCCCCAAACCCACTATGCTCCCTCCCATTAGCGAGATGAACGAGCGAGCGGGACAGCGGCAGTCTGATCCCCCCCCCCCCTCACTGACTAATGGACTCGCCATTAGAAAGCGCCGAGCCCGCTCACACACACATAAGAGCAGATCTCTATCCCAGAAGTTGTCCAGGTAGCGGGGGGGGGGGGGGGGCGGCGTTAGACCCCAGATGAATTGCCCTGCTTTCACCAGCCGATGTGGGAGGTGAACCTAAGGCGCCCGAAATAGAACGAAATCAATGTGGCCGCGCGAGCAGCAGACGCACGAGACATGGATTTTTCCATCTGAGTGATGCGCCATCGACCCGACTTGAAGTCCGCTAAATTAGAGCCGTATTAACAGGAGGATAAAAGAGTGCAGAGAATCTTATAGATGTTGACGAACGCCCAAGGAATGACTCAAGCCCCCCCCCCCCCCAAAAAAAGGGCTTCCACGTGGAGTCTCCGGGAAGTGGGTGCGCGTGGTGTTGATGGCTTCGGCACACACACAGAGGGATTGGAACTGTCACTACAGCTCTCCCTCATATTAGAACTAATCTGCCGCTGGGCAACTTTATCCAGCGCCCACTAGTCACGGAAGAGGAGCGCCGCGCGCACGGAGGCCCTGACGTCTCCGCCGCGCGCTCCGCAGGATGGGCGCGTTCTCCCGTCGCTGACCCAAACATATCCATTTGTTCAGTGGAAAGAGGAATGTCCGCTACCACCCTGATCACTCGCCGTCACGGACCCTGTTTCGGTGAAACTTTTGTTTTTCCGATCAGTTAGTTCAGTTCATGAGAAACCTAGATTTACTCATTTACATTTGTTTTGTATTAACACAATCGCATGCAGTTACAATGTACAAGTTCTGGGGTTTTATGGGTTATCGGTGATTGAGTAATATCTAATGCCATCTAGACTTTACCCGACTCTGATTAAAATAAAAAAAACATATGAGAGAGGATTTACAAAGCTTTCCGCATGATTTTTTCACGCCGTATTTATTCATATGACACAAAGTTTACATTTCTGATCTTCAAGGATACCAAGTACAAATCAACAAGGAATAACTGCTGCTGTATGGATGTGTTCAAAATGTTTTTTTTAAAAGATGAGACTTTAAAGGCAACAACAGAAGCACCTGAGCTGTTGTGATGCTGACCCAAATTAAGGACATTTTGCTTTTAATCTTGCTTTTATTCAGGGAAGTAAAAGTCAGGTCAGCTACATAACAGCTCCAGTGCAAATAGTCGGAATTAAGTTGTTGTTCCCAGAAGGGCAGACCTTTGTCAAAGGGCCGCTCTATAATTCTCGCGCTGAAGCTCTCTAAAAAGCGCTGAAGGCAGCGTTTTTTCTTCTTTTTTTTTTTTCTCCTGGAAAAAAAAAAGGAGTCAAGTGTGAACACACCCTAATGCAGCCTTGTGTATCTCATCCTCTTTCACACTCTTAACCTTTATTTTAGAAATCCCACGTCTGCTTGTGCTGTACGTGCAGTACTTTGAAAGGCAAGTGGCTCTTGACCTCTTTAGCCAACGCCCATATCTAAAGGTGCAACCCTGACTCGCGGCGTTGCACAATGCGGGAGGACAGTGATACCGATACCCGTCTAAAAGACTGGTGCTCGTGAGGAGAAAAGGCCGGCTGGGTGTCATTTTAACAATTCACCTCATCGTTGCAGAAGATCCTCTTTCCTGTCTCTCGATTCAAAGAAAAAACAAATAAAGGCCACTGTTGTGAGTGACGACGGTGATCTCACGTAAGAGTGGGTTTAAAAGGCACTGAAGGTCACGAGAAAAATGTGCCCTTTTAACACTTTATCCTTCGGGTTGAGAGTTTTTAATGCCAAATAGCTCATAATAACGACACACCATTTAATAATCTAAATCACTTTTATTAATTTAAGTTAGGTAGAGACACTAAACATTGGAACCACATTTGCTCTACAATGGAGCAGTCTTGAGAAAATTACAAAATAAAAAGGCTTATGTCATACTGTCAACAAAAAAAAACTCAGGAGGTAGAGAATTTAGGCTCATCAGTGTGACTCAAGGGATGAAGCCTATTGGAATGTAGTTGAAATTCTGAAACTCTTGTCATCCCAAAGTTTATATAAAATATTCATACATCAAATATGGTGGAGACAGTCATTTGGGATACTGGGGGGTATTCACAACATTTAAACATTTACATTTCACTTTAACTGGACAATGAATAGGAGAGTTAAAGTTTTACTTTGGAAAGGATAATGGGAGTCTAGTGTCTTTAATACGTTTCCCTCGACCACACATCAGTGTTGGGACGGCGGTTTTGCTCGGAGTTACAGCCTACGTTTGTTGGTTTTTGAACAAATGTTGATAACAGATCATTTTACAATATTAACAAACACAGATCTTGAAAACAAAGACAAATGAGAGAAATAAATTTCCCCTCGACTCTCCCAAAAGCGTTACATTCTGAATGCTCGTTCGACCCCCGGATGTTTACAGCTTTTTCATTTGAGAGCTTATTCAATACAGACCTGAAACAAGAGACAATTAAAAAGGGCCAATGTTGAGTGCCGTTACGCTGGAGACTCTTTTAAATTGGCCCTTTAAAAACGTCCTATCGGGGATGCGTACGCTTCATCATCATCAACACGCCGTGTATGCCACACATCTGTAACTTAAGTATTTAAAAAATAAAAAAAAACATTATCATCAACCTTAATTGTGACATTTATCTTGCTTCATTTTAAAAAACACGAGCTGTAATCAGAGCCTTTGCTGAGCTGCTGCCTGATAAAAGAGCCTCCGCGGCGGGGAGACGTTGGGTGGTTTGAAGAAGAGTGTAGAGAAAAATCTGAAATTACAGTGCATGTCTACAAAAATTAAATAAAAGTGAAAAACATTTGTTTTACTGTTTGTACAGTAACATACTGTATATTTCCACAATGACACTAAATAAGGCTGGTGACTACATTACGTAAATAGTTAATTATAGGATAGCTTTTCTGTATGATTTCAAAACTAGTGACACAGTATATAGTTGTTGGTTTCTTTAAACTCAAAAAATAAAAAAAGACAAAACAAAGTCAAATAAATCATTTGTGTAGTACACAGCTTTCTTTGTTCCAGAGGAACAATATGGTAAACCTTTGCATTTGCTCCGCGCAAGTGCACAAGTCTAGATTCAGTCTTTTCGCATTTCCTTCCTTCCTCCCTTCTTCCCCATTTTCATCCTCAGTGGTTGTTTCCTCGTGCTTGCAGGTTTATGTCCCTCTGTTCGTGTCCCAAACAGCAACCCCCCCCCCCCCCCCCCCCCCCCCCCTCTCCCCCCTACATCCCGTTCTTTGCCTCGTTGTTGTTCATGGCCTCCTTTCTCTGGGCCAGGAAGGGGTACATGCACTTGTCGGCGCCGAGGAACCGGTACATGCACACGATGGCCTCGAACGGCAGAATGCTGTGGAGGGAGAACAGAAATGAGACACGTTCCTGTACACAGTAAGGAGAGCGTAGGGGGAAGGGGGGGGGGGGGGTATACGTAGGGTGTTATAGTTCTGGAGGCCGCTCACCTTTTCATGAAGTTGACCATATAGACGATGCGAGGTGTACAGATCATGGGCTGGTCAGTGAGGATGGCCCTCATGGCCTGTTTCACACAGAACTCTGGCTTCAGGGGAGGCAGGAAAGGCTCAATCTCCTTCCTTAAAACAGAAAGGGGGACAGGGGGTCATTTAAAACATTTCAAATTTGGTTGAAGTCATTCGGAAACCGCAGTGCTCGTGAGTAAAGTGGCACTGGCTAAAAAGCTCGCAGTAGTAGCGATTGCTGCAAAGTGCACCTGCTGGTAAGCTTCTTCTTTTTTTTTTACCCTGGGAAAAGCTTTGTATAGGCCAAGTGCCAACCTCTGGTCCCCGGTTTATACGTTCCACAGCGCTAACCATCAGCTGCTGCTGCTTTGATCCTCAACATTTTATAAGGTGAAAATGAGAGATGACAAGCTCATCCCGCGTGGCGGGGAAGCTGACCTTATCCTGCAGCCTTTGAACATTCCCGTGTCGACCAGGTAAGGGCACACCAGGGTCATGTTGATGCCGTCCTTCTCTGAGGCCTTCACCTCGTGGCTCAGTGACTCGTGGAACCCGATGGCACCGAACTTACTGGCGCAGTAGTCCTGTGGGAATTAAAGGGAGAACAGGTTACCGCTGTAATAAACTCTCACCCGCACCCGGGGACCACAGAGAACATTATCAAACACGTCCCCCCCCCCCCGCGGGCGCCGAGGGCCCTTCTTGCTGTTAACGATACAGCCGCAAAAAACCTGAGGCTCTGTTCAACGGTTTCATCGGCATTCTTCTCCGGTGCAGCAGGAGACCGCTCTGCTCGGCGGGAAGGTTTTGATGTGGTTCGCCACGGAAATAATCTTTTATTTAGTTCTTTTATTTTTCATAAAGGCTTGTGCAAACACAGATGCATGCCGATAAACACGGGGAGGATAAAGAGATTCGACTGTGCAACAGAAACGACAGATGAGAGCTTTGGTTCCCTGAAATGAATGAGCGCGTCAGGAATAGCAGTAGGAGAATTTCCGGGAAGCATTACAGCTTAACAAAAACGGACTAAAACTCCAGTCCCTTTGAAAGGCGACTTAGTCATTATGAGTGCAAAAGAAAATGTGGAGCTATAAAGAACAAAAAAACAGGCGGTCCCTGAAGGCCGTCTGAAAATGACACCGTTTTAGAGCCTGTTTGCTGAATTACCAAAATATAAAAACCTTCTCGTGGTCACCTTCTACGAGGACAATTGACTCCCTCTGTGGTTATGGAGATTAATGACTCCACTTAATATGTATTACAATAACAAAATGAATCTGTACCGGGGGGTGAGGGGGTGGGAACTATAGAAAGGAAAACCCCAAACTTTATCCATTGAAAGGTGCTGTGAGCTGAATACTGAGCGAGCACAAAGTTGTTCACAAAAGCGCTGATGAAGATGTCTCCATCCCTCGGGGAGCTGTCAGCCCGTTCTGGCCCCGGGGCCCGAGCCCAATAGGGGCCCCACACCCCCACTGCTGCAAATAGTGAAATCTATAAGAGGCTCCCCAATGCTCATCTGTGTCCCTTAATTTAACGGGTGGAGGGACAACTAGAGAAAGGGGGCCTAACCCCCCCGGCGCAGTGTGCTATCTGGCACGCCGAGGGCTTTGGAGAAAAGCACTGGTTTTCGGATGGTGGGAACGATGGGATGGGTATGCGTTGTTGTGTATGATACTAACCTCCACTCCAGCTGTGCTGAATAAACCCAGGGAGCTGGCAACCGTCACAATGTGACCATGATTCAGCTCCAGCATCTTGGGGAGGAACGCCTTGGTGGTCTGGGGGAAGGACAGAAGGGCACAGATGGAAAATAAAAGAAAGAGGAAGGTTAGTTCACTTGTGCAGTTTGTCTGTGCCAAAGCCCTTTGATCCTCTCTGACTCTCTGACTCCCTCCCCCTCTCCGTCTGTTCCCCCCCCCCACCCTGTTTCTCCATGGTGATGCAGAGCGAGGAATTTGAATTCATAACGCGCTTTAAAACAAAACCAAAAAGGCTGAAAATAAGCATTTCCATGAAATATTTTTGTGGTAGGTGTGAACCGGATGTCAGAAGAGAAAGATGAGGGGGGGTTCTCCCCCCCCCACCCCCCCTCCCCTTCGTAGGATATTCAATGAACAAAACAGGTGTGTGGTGTGCGCACTGCACTGTACAATCTGTCCTTTTCCCACACAGATCTGGTGCCCGTCGTCGAGGCCCAGCTCTAAAGACCTGGTGACAGGCCCAATCATAGGCCTCCGTTCACTCAACAACAATACAACTCAGCCTCTCGGCTGCCCGCGCAGCCAGTCCGAGCAGCAGTCTGCACAACAATCGGCAGCGAGGTGAGCTCAGGGATGAAAGGGTTTCGACGGAGTGCCACGTGAGCGCCCCGGTGGTTTCACCCAGGCCAGTCCGTTGAGGGGGGGGAGGGTTGGCGACCCAGCGGAGGAGACTGCCGGTTAGCGGTGGATTAACCCGTGCGATCCATTCCTCATTCCGCCCCGTCTGCCCGACTTTGGAGGCTCAGCATGAGCCACTCAGCAGGTGTGACGTGTGACGGCAGCGACAGGAACTGGCCAATCACTCTCCCTCTAGGTGGTCCACAAAACAACCAGCAGGCCTTTTGTCGATCTATTCAAGTGAGATGTGTGCTGCCACAGACAAGGACAATGCAAGGAGACTGCAACACCTTTTGAAAATGTCAGTAAAGCAAATGAAGAAGAAAGAAAAATGCAGAGGACGCGTTTATGCCACAGTAACATGCTGGCCATAGTATGTTGTGTAAAATGAAAATGTAGTACCTCTTGGTTTTGGTAAGAGCTTTTAAGACTCACTTTGGGTTCATTTGTTAGTACTTTTGACAGTTTAATTTCTAGTTTCCAATAGTTCTGTGGTCATGAGAATTCATTAAAATGTTGGTACAGTACATAAGCCTGGCCAGAGAAATGATTCAGCCACCTTAGTAAACATTTGCTGGAAGGGAGCAGAGCGCTTGGTACCAGGTTGCACAGCCATGAAACCACTGGCAGGGGAGGAAAAGCCTCATTAAAACTGCAATCAGAGATTAACTGCATCGGACCTACTGACTTGTAGTGTAATCTCTTCCACATAACACAACTTTGTCCGTGTTGTGTGCCATAAATAAAACTGGAAGGAATAAGTCAGATCTTCATGGCGAAAGCCTGGGTTTGAGCAGATGACTTCATTTCAGTTTTTATTCTACAGCGAGCTACAGTACAGAACAGATCTGACTCCGCTCCAAACATCTGCGCCTTCTCAGGACATAAATCCTCCAGCTGCGGCGATATTCATCTCGTCAAATGACGGGGGCCCCGAAGAGGGGGAGCGCCAGAAACATGAGGCGTAGGCAAAAAGCGGGGAAAGGCCTCTGGGAGCCAGAATACCAGCGGCTGAGGGAGAACGGCTGCGTGCAAATGAAGCCTTCGCTTGAGGTATGCCCGTACCTGACGTATGCCAAAGCTTACCCGCTCACAGCAACTTTCAGGGTTGTTTACCGATGCCCCGATGCATGCTGGACAATTTTGCTGAGGGCTCAGCAAACGACTGGAGGTGATGTTGGGAGGGAGGAGGCAGGGGCCGATTGCTGGAGGACGGGGCTGAAAACGCGAACAAAGTTTCCATCCCTCTCTCTCTCTCTCTCTCTCTCTCTCTCTCTCTCTCTCTCTCTCCCGCCCTCCCGTGATGTCCCGCTTCTCATGGCAGCTCTGGCATGCGGGCATGACCCCCGCTGACCTCTCAGACACAAAATGTGTGAAGGCAACCGGGGGGCTCGTGTCTTACATCAGAGCTGTTGTAATTGGGACTCAACGCTCCCTTTTTCCGCTAAATTACCCACCGACACAGTCGGACCTCCTTGGCCTATGTGGGGTTGCCTCGCCTGCTGCACCCCCCCCCCCTAATTGGTCCGAGCATTTAAACCAGACAAAGCTTCTTGCAGCTGGGGTGTCAGGCTGCATTAGTGCTAGCGCCTGACCAACAGGAATATGGACAAAATATTGGCCTTTGCGCAGGTCCAGATGTCCATTTAATTGGGCTGACTTCTCCCTGGATGAGAGAATGGACGAGAGGGCGAAAAGCGTCCGAGCGCCAGAGCCCGTTTGATCTTAGGCAAGATCGTGGAATTTGAGTGGGTTGGGTTTACAGGACATCGGGGATGATGGCTGCAGATTGGTCGAGTTGTGGTGGCCAGGCTGGTCAATGAAACATTCCTTTTTTTTTTCTCTGCTTTTAACAGGATCTATGAAAAATATCGGTCCTAAATGCAAATCCCAAATGGATTTCTTGATTCAATACACTTCTCTATTTCTTCCTCTTACCCAATCCATTCCCACTCATGTGAACAGGTACACTTCTTCTCCTAACGTGGGAGAAGCGATGGCTCGCTCATGTGAGGGGAGTACAGGTGCACTGGGTCTGAGGGGGGGGCCTATGTAAAACCAGTGAAGTAGGACCCTTCTGCCTGGCTGCATCCTTTCTCTGACTACAGCAGGAATGCAGCCGGCAGAACTTGGCTCCTGTCGCCTGGCATCTTGTCAAGCTGATCTACAGACAAGAAACCAATTGTCAGATAAAGTGGGTCAGCGGCAGCTTACCATTACCCTCTCGCCTCGCCTGCCGATGGGAAGGCATTGCCTTCCTTCCCCTTTTCTGTAAACTGCTCTTTTCCCGCCATGTCACCATTGAAGCCCTCGGCGCTTTCATGTAATTGCACGAGAGCGGTAGGATTACCTCGTGACAGGAGTCGCTGCTTATTGTTCACGAACCACCTGTTGGATAACCGGCTCAAGATGCAGAGGAAGGGTTCCTTTTCATGTCCCACTTATCTCGGCATACTTATCCTCAAAACAACAACTCTGTTGACACTTAATGAGATGGAGGGAAATTCGTCATCCTGTCGTGGAGCTTAAACAGCACAAATCACCAGCTGGTCCTATCAAAGTAATTAAATGTTAAGAACCTCTGCCTCATAACTTTAAAAGGAAAGAGGGACTGAATCATAGTTGTTGTACACATAGTCCGTGTGTGTGTGTGTGTGTGTGTGTGTGTGTGTGTGTGTGTGTGTGTGTGTGTGTGTGGCAATGCTGGAGGAACAGAGCGTGCCGCCGTTGTGACCCGACATGCAGCTGCACCCACTGCCTCCAAAATCGGGTTGGGAGGAGTCAGAGGGGCCTGTGTAAGGACGACAGAAGAAGTGTGGGGTCTGCACATGCAAACACACACACACACACACACACACTCACTGCAGTTAACATCCTTTTCCAAGTCACCCCTCCATCCGACTAGACTTTTCAAATGAAAATGAACAAATACAAAGCTTCTCTCCTTATTCTGAAGTGCGGCCGTCTTAGATCTTTAACCTGCTGTCATGGTGAACTAGGTGGGAAATTTCAATAACTTGCTCGGGTAGCAAATAGTGACTATAGACAACACATAAGAAAAAGAATGCTGCCCTCCCACATAATCTATGTCCACTGGTGAAGCATGAAAAAAAAAACATGGGCCGATTGACTCTTTGCTATAATCCTCAAACTTTATCTAAAGTTGTAAAATGTACTTTAAATTGTGTATGACTAAGAGTACCGGAGTCATGAGCCACAATTCATCCGTTTAAAAGCCTGTAAAAAGATGAAAAGTGAATGTTTGTGTAAACACCTGAATGCATTGAGCAACTGTTTGTGTGAGAGAGGAAAGTGGACAGGTCCCTGTTAGTCTAAGCTCCATTCATCTATCTTGTGTCTTTAATGAACCACATCCTCTATTCTGGCTGTCGCCATTCATTAAGTACTTCTTTCATCCAGCGCCGCCCCCCCCCCCCCCCTCCCTCTCCGATACGAACCACGCTCTCCACAGAAAATAAGGGGGTGGGCGCAGAGGGAACACAAACACAGATGGGAAAACACAAACACAAAACCCTGTTAAAAACCCCAAACCTGCCACCCCAACCACTGGATCATGACTCCGAACCCTGGACATAAAGGAATGTGGTGATGACCAGCAGAGAGGCACACGAATCGTTGAAAAGAAGTAAGGAGGAAGTACACAACCTGCCTGGCTGACAACACAAGAGATGTTCATGCTCAATTGGGGAGCTTCCAATCACTGTGGTTTCATGGTTGTTGTGGGTTTTTTTTTTTGAGAATGAGCTCTTCTGGGGGAAAAAAAGGGGCCTCTGGCGAGTCTCAAAATGAACATCATCGGGCTCAGACACACGAGGCCCCTCGCCTCCAATACAGCACACATACTTAAGAATAACTGATACAGTCGTCCCACAGAGGCGGTCGTTCCTTTTGTATTGGCGGCGAGGGGCTTGAACCCGGCGTTCTCATTCCGCTCAGTAAAGTGTCTACTGACGGTTTATAATGGCCAGACTTTCCACACCCACGAAAGGCCGCACAAAGGCTATGATAGCACCTGTCGTGCGTAAAAAAAAAATCTAAAGTGAAACGCGCTCACTTCATCGAGTCCATGTAGGCTTCCAGATAAATATTTACACTGAAAACACTAAAAAAAGGGAAATCTGGTACACAAGAAAGCACTGCCTGCCAACAGAATGTGGTGAGGTGATCCGACACAGATCCTACATTTGTGTGGCGAAGGAGAGGAGAAGGAAGGGCTGACATACCACGGGGATCATCAACGGCCATGGGCCGCCGAAGAGCACCAAAGGCACCACTTAAGAAGCCAAACCGTGACTTTTTTTTTCTTTTCTGGCAGATCAAAACCAAGCGAAGCTGAAATTTCAACATGCAAGGCAACCATTTATGGATATGCTTTCTTTCTCAGTACTGGAGGCGCACAGATAACCTTGGATTACTGACTTTGGCAGACAGAAGGATAATGTTGTGTAAATAGTGATAGAAACATTCCTGTGGACCTGGCATCGCAGTGAAGACATCATCAGGCCGAGATCCTAACACGGCTCCCTCTCTCTCTCTCTCGCTTTGCAGCTATAGGGCGACATCCGCGGCAGGAAACTCACCCAAAAGTGCGCATGGCAGTTGACCACCATGGTGCGCTCGATCAGCTCATCGGGGCACTCCAGGAGGTGATGGCCGGAGACGACGCCGGCGTTGTTGATCAGCAGGTCCACGTTCCCCACCTCTCGACGCACCTTCTCGGCTGTGGAATACACGCTCTCCCGCTTTCCCACGTCACACACATAGGTGTAGACCTGCGGCTGGAAGGGGGGGACCTCCTCCACCCCTCTGACAGGTCCTGCGGTTGAAAAGAGATAGCAAAAGTGAAAAAGTTCCTTCAGCAGGGCATTGTAATGGATAAATCTGAATTATTAAGTACAATGGGATGGGATTTCAATTGAATGGTCTGCACGTGAATTAATAATCAAGGAACTGTGGTCTTTTTCTTTTCAAATCTTAGGAAGATAAAGAGGTCACCCGAGCGCCTATTTGGAAGTCAACCTAAATGAATAAATGAGTAAATGGTGTGCAAAGAGGCGTGCAAGGAAACCTGTCGGTGTGTTCATTGTGTCGCTCTGCCCTCGGTACCTCCGCAACTTCTATCCCTCAAATACGACTCGCCGCTGCCTGACCCAAAACCGAAAGTGACCTCGCGGAAACGAGCCGTGCGTAAAACCCGGTGACATCCAAACTGCAGGGGAAAAGAAGGAAGACAGAAAGCAGTCTTACCGTCTTTGGTTATGGGAGTGTCCAGCTCGTGGTAAATCTGCCGCACCATCTCCGCGGTCTCCTCATTGCTTTGGCTGTTTATGTCCCATAAGACCAGGATCGCTCGCCTCCGGGCGAACTCCTTGGCGAAGAGCCGCCCGAGGCCGCTTCCAGCGCCGGTGATCACGCACACCTGTCCGGCCACGCTCTTCTCCTTCGGCCGCACAACCCATTTAGTCCCGGCGGTCACGATAGCCCAGAGCACCTTCAAGATGACCACGAAGAACTCGGCGAATATTATCATCATGTTGGCCGTGCTTTTCAAATGCGATTCGAATGAGCGGCGGAAGCAGCGCAGGGAATGTTTTGAAACCTGTTCGGTAGCAGATGGGAAGGCAGGAGGCGCACCGACGCAACTTGCACCCACAGTGCAGGTATAGGACGGAAAAAGAAGAAAAAGAATGGGTGGGGGGGAAACTGACAACGGCTAGAGCGCAAAAAAGTGTGCAAAGAAGGAGCGCAACTTGAGAGCGAAAGGAGAATTCAGATGCCCGTTGAGTCAGAGTCCAGTTCCTGTGCCTCCCACTTCCTCTGCTGCTGCTGCTGCTGCTGCTGCTCCGCCACTCATCTCATCCTCACTCGCATCCCACTCGCTATTTATTCAGTCCTCCCATCAACGCTGGACCCAATAGGACCGAGACGTGAGCGCCCGTCAGAATGAAGCGCCACATCCATACACGTTACACTCGGAGGTGATGTAACCTCGCAGATTTTACCAAACACTAATCCGCTGCGCTTTTTGTCCCCAAAGTAAAGCGCGATGGAAGGATTGGAGACGCTTTGATATACGCTGTTTTTTTGGTATGCTTTGACTTTGAGGCATGCGTGTATAGAGGTAGACAAAAAAAAGAGGTATTGGTATTTTAATTGATGATTGTTTTTGCTAATAGTTGCACAATAAAAGCATGTGAGTAACTGTTTTGCTTATGTTGATTTATTTGATGAGAAATGTAGTTTAAATCCTATGATTATTATTAGGATTGAAACCAAGATTTCAGGAACATTTAATACATTAGTACTGTGTATTTCCACCGCGAAATGCCGATTTCAAATGACCAAAGATCAAGCCACATTCCGCCAGTCCCGGTCAATATCTGTGCATTCAATGCAACCAGCATAACCATCGTTGTTCCTTGAAGAAAGAACTTGTTGACATCTGAGCCGGGGAGTTTTGCGCAACACTGAATTTGCAGGTCCGTATAGTCACAGATATCACAGCAATCCACTGGCAATGACCCATCGCCATTTGCCCGTTGCGTAAAGTGAAAGTGGATCGATAACGTACTCGTGCAAGCTTAGACAGTATGTATGTTTTCACGGGCAAAATGCATATTTACCTCTAACGTCCATATAATTATACCTCCAAAAAAGAAAATATAATAAACCAAACTTTATTTCACGTGAAACCTGGTCTTATTTTCCCCCGTTGGATGGGCATTTCAGTGGTAGTCCTGCAAAACAGTGAAAAAACATTCTCCCGATCCTATTGTAATACTAACATGTAAATAATGCATACAGAGAAAGCTCTTAAAAACTTCAGACGTGGTGCTTATGAACAGCAACATGTAAGTCAATCTGATGGTCACACAGTATACATCATTCATGGGGAAGCTATTGTTGTGGGTTACTTACAACGCTTTTAGCGCACCAAATTGTATATGCCTCACATGCTTTATTTGCTAAATGTGTTCTTTTTATTAGAATTAATTTTCTTGGCATCACACAGACAGAATTTTGGAAAGGCTTAAATAGATTAGATTTTTTCTCCAGTGAGATCCTCCAGAGGATCACGCGTAAAGGTTCAGGGAAGGGAATATATCCCCCCGGGACCACGAATGTAGAAAGCGCATGGAAGCAGCGTGACCCTGGGCGGCAGAATGAAGCGTTAGCTCCCTCTGCCGGCTCATCGAGTGCACAGCACTACCATCACCTCCGGGCTCACGGAAGTATGAAAAGTACCAAACATCAAACCCAGTGGACCGACGTTTCCTTCATGTTTGAAAGATTTTTTTTCTTTTATGTGGTTATTTTTTTAGATGGACAATTAAGGATAATTTACTAAATAACCCGTACGCAATTTTAGATTTTAAAACAAATTTGGTGTGTATACATTTGGATTCCATGAAAGATTCAACTCATGTTGGAGCATCATGAAGTTGATGCTATAATTTAACTTAACAGTCTTCAGAATGTAGAGCCTCAATGTCCTTGGTCATACCTCTCTGCCTGTCCCCATTGGCCTTGTATTGATGTTGTACTTTGAGTGTATTTGTGTGTCCGAGCTTAAGCGAATTGTATGTTTATGTATTTGCCTTTAATCAATACACGCATTGTACCAGAAAAATGGTATCAATGACAGAATGAATATTCTAAAGTTAGCTCTGTATTAGCATTCTAGTCTGTTGGAAGTTTTACTATGACGCAGTACATTTCGGTGCCATTCAGCCAACGACATTTTAAGAAGTTAATGCCGCATTTGATTTCTTAAATAGAATAACATTCACGTTGGTTTGAGAATACTTTTTAAAGTTTTGCCTGCTACGTTAATGTACAGATCAGGCATCTGGAAGGACAGCCTGTTGAGGTCTTGGGTCCTAAATCCTTTAACCCGGACATGCGCACATGGGAATCCCTCTTTCTCGGTGGACGCAATGGCGGACGCAGAGTGAGTGTCTGTGACCTGAGAAAATCTAAGCACATCGGCGGTTAAAATAGTCATCGTTGTGCATTTTACATGCTGTATAGATTGTTTAGATTGCGTACACCGTCGCACTAGTTGTATTGTTTAGGATTATCGTTATTTTAGTTGTTTGTCACTTTATGGTTTCTTGTGTGTAGTCCTTAGCGGTACAACATGGCTCTCTCTACCGCCTCCGTACTCGATAAGAAGCTAGCTAATCGTGCTAATAGGAGAACTAACTTGGGAATCAGCTGCCATAGTTCCTTTCGTGCTGCTGTTAATGGTTTCAAGACACGTCTTTAGGTCTTCGGTGAAGTGAGAACACTTGAGTATGGGAGCCGGTAAATGGGAGGTTAGCTAATTTAGCTTCTTAGCATACCAACAAATGCGGTTTTTAAAAAATGCATCTCAATGGCTTTTTCCTACGAGAATATCCGTAGTTTTCTGTGTCTCTCGACTTGTTTTGTAATGTTCTGGTTTGTCCACGACAGAAAAAAAGTGCCGGTGGTCCCGGAGAGCCTTTTGAAAAGGCGAAAGGCCTTTGCCGCCATGAAGGCCGCGCGCGTCAAGAAGCTGCTGGCCGACAAAAAGGTGTGTAAGCACGCGTGTTTTCGTTCTGCTCAATTTTTTTTTTACTCCTGTAATGTGTCGGGTGAACATGTCCGTGGGCTTATCAATGTTATTCCTGCTTGCTAAGGCCCGCAAAGTGACCAGGAAACTGATCTACAAGAGGGCTGAGATGTACCATAAGGAGTACAGGCAGATGTACAGGCGTGAAGTTCGCCTGGGCCGCACTGCTCGCAAAGTGGGAAATTTCTACGTGCCGGCCGAGCCCAAACTGGCCTTTGTTGTCCGGATCCGAGGGTGAGTTCAGCCAGTGTCTTAAGCACAGAAATGTAACGCGTGGCAGACCGAAACCAAACAGTGAGATTTACATGGATTGCTACATTTCTTATTAGAACCGCATACCATCGTGTCTCAGTTAGAGCAGCAGTTTAGATCTCTGCTCACGTGCTGGGTTGCTAATTTGAAATGCCATTTACATGGTTATTTGCCTTAAATAAACCCTGTCTAGCTATGTCTTGCATGCTCGTACTACCTGAGTTACTCAAAGCACGAGTCAAGGTTTCCTTCAATAATGCCTACGTTTGGTTCCTATTGCAATCCATGTAAATGTCTCATGGTACTGTCTGCAGATGCCTAGTTGGTCGTGTGGTTAATGATGAACAATTCTTTCCCCGACTTATCGACTATGATGATACATCCTTGCAAAATAAGCCAAATATTCTGAGACCACAATGAACAGAGTTGATGAGAAAGTTGTACACCAATGCCATGTGCTAATCTGTTCCATCTATTCTTTCAGTATCAATGGTGTCAGCCCCAAGGTCCGCAAAGTTCTGCAGCTGCTTCGTCTCCGCCAGATCTTCAACGGTGTGTTTGTCCGACTGAACAAGGCTTCAATCAACATGCTCAGGATTGCTGAGCCTTACATCGCTTGGGGGTAATTGAGGCTACAAAACTTAGACGTCGACCTCATATTGCAGACGCAATTCATTGTGTGCTGAAATGAACAATTATTAGTGACCAGGTGCTTTATCTCTGGAATGTGGTTGATGATGCTGAACTTTTTTCCCCATCTTATCGACCATGGTGAATACTGACTTAAACTAAGCCAGTTTAGTCTGAAACCACATTCCATGGTACAGAACAATTTTCAGTATAAACGCTTTAAACAAAAGTTCCCAGGTTTGATAAGAGTTAATTTCATAACCATGTATTATCTGTTCCACCAGATACCCCAACCTGAAGTCTGTGCGTGAGCTCATCTACAAACGTGGCCACGGCAGGCTGAGGAAACGGCGCGTTGCCCTCACCGACAACGCTCTGGTGGAGTCGGCCCTCGGTATGTAAACTTAATGCCTTGGACGTCTCTCCATTTGGTCTAGTGTGTCGGATGCAGTTTCTTACGGAACCCCGAAGGAAAGTCTTCATAATTTGTACAAATGTCCACCGTGACTTTTGATGTATTTATTTTTGGAGGTCTTGTGCCTTCAGTTTTTGGCCCATAACTGAAGAGATTTACCAATCGTATCAATTTCAAATATACATTTCCTAATAGGATGAAATTAGGGAGGACATTGTGAAAAGACATGGATGTGAACTGCAACATGACTGTTTGGCGAAGAATTTCAACCAGATGTGGTAATTGTAGTTTGTTTTGAGACAAAAGACGTGTATGTACATAACACAGTATACATGTGCTTCTATGAGGGCCGATTGTACTAACGAATCAACATACTTCCCCAATGAGAATCATTTCTTTAGGAAAATGGTTATGGCAGTTACAGTATTTAGTGTTAATAATTTCTTCTAAAAAGCTATTTAACAAGTTATATCAGTAGTGCTACATGTGGTTAATGATGTACACTTTTTTCCCCGTCTTATCGACCATGGTGAGAAAGCTTAAAACTAAGCCAGTTGTATCTGAAACCACAAACCGAAACAGTGACCTGAACACTGGGATGGATTAGACGCTGCACTCATCAGATTGCATTATAACTCCTGACATGTTCGAATAAAAGGATATATCACATAATTCAGAAATGCTTTCAGTGTGCTGGAAGCTGCGCGGTTCAGTTTATTAAACTCACTGCTTTTTGATCCCCAGGCAAATATGGCATCATCTGTGTTGAAGACCTCATTCACGAGATTTACACAGTTGGAAAGAACTTCAAGTCTGCCAACAACTTCCTGTGGCCCTTCAAGCTGTCGTCACCCCGCGGTGGCATGAACAAGAAGACCACACACTTTGTGGAAGGAGGAGACGCTGGCAACAGGGAGGATCAGATCAACAGAATGATCAGGAGGATGAACTAAAGTGATGGTGAGTTGTAGCGAGGGTCCTAGAAAGATAAAAATGGCTTGGCTGTGGTTGATGATGCAAAATCTTTTTTCCCCATCTTATCGACTATGGTGAAAACCATCTGAAATTAAGCCAAATATGACTGAAACCACATCTAAGCCGTTAAATATAAGACAATGATTTGTGTGCTGGTTGATGTTATTTAGTGACCATTGTTCTGGTAATTCCTCCAGAACACCATATTTAGTTTCTCCAATTAAACTTTTTTTTGGTCTTTTTCAGGTGTTCAAAGGACTCAAAATGTACAATAAAATCTTGGCGGAAAACTTGTCTTCTCATCATTGATGTGATTGTGCTATTTTGATTTAGTATGTGTCAATTATGGTAATGGAGAGAGGGGTCAGACAGCACTTTTGTAGCTCAATCCAATTTAAGGTTTTAAGTCGAGTTTCCAATAAATAAACCACATTGACCGCTGAAAAGATAAGCGGAGAACAATATAAACAAATCTGCATTGCACATATAACAAAGTGTGGGCGTATTTGAATAATTCTATATTAGTACATTAAAGGCGGTAAAAACACTCATCTTATGCATGGGTCAGAGCAACGGTTTCGTGGAGCCCGTTTCCATGGTGACGTTGAGACTGATGCACCGACCGCGGGCAGCAGCGTAGCGTTGCCTCTCGGGGAGGACGTCTCATCTGTTACGATCACTCATAAGAACCACGGGCCTCACATTCCACCCGTAACCTTTCATGGCGCAAACATGTACATCAACTCCGGCACGACGACGCTCCGGGTCGACGCGCCGCTGCCCGCATCGGAGGAGCGCCCGAGCGACACCCGGCGCGGCCCTGGCGCTTGTGGCGTTGGGTGGCTGGCACACGGGCACCTCGGTGTGGGAGCAGGTGGACAACCGGCTCTCGGACAAAATAATCACATGCGGAGGAAATTGCCCGCGATACAACCGCCGAGCAGTAAGTAAGAGCGCTGCGTGTCGCCGCCGGACTCCTTCACATTGCGCCGTGTGGGCGGTGGGATTAATGCGCATCACCGTTCGTCTGTGTTGCGGAGCGCCGGGATTGGGAAAGCTTGTTTAGAGGCTTTATGGTTGCAGGGTAAGATGTGTTGAGGGGTTTGACTCCCTCTTGTTTCCTGGTGCTGAGCGTGTCCTGTGCTCGTTATGGCTTTTACCTCGCAATCTATTCAACCGGATATATAAGCGAGCAGTTCCACATGAAGGCACAATACGTTTTGCTCTTTTTGTGGATAAATGCAGAGTTATTCAGGGTTGATATTCACAGCTGCAGTCCATGCGTGCTGCTGTGTAATTTCTATCTGTAGGTCACCCAAATTGTCCGATGAGGTAGGACTGCAACATGAGAGCAATCACATGAAGGACATCTGGGAGACACTTTCTATTTAAACCGTGTAAGAATCCTCTTTTCAGTGTGTGAAGATTATTTGTATATTATGAAAAAATCGACCAAAAAGAAATGACTGTGAGGCTATTTCCTGGATTGTGGCCTCACTGCCAGTAGGTGGAGTTGTCACACACAATGATCACAGCTCTCATTTCGATCACAAGTGGAAACTTAAATACAATAAAACTTGTTAGTATCTTTGAAAACAATAGATTTCCTCTTTACACAGACGTTACTTCTGAATATCTGAATCCAATGATTTTCAGGTGTGCGGTTAGAAAGGACCAGAACCGTGATTCCTCAGCTGTCGAGAAACTACCACATGCACCGACCGGGCAGCCTGCATCCCTTCGGCCTCTCCAAGGAGCTTTCCCACAGCCACTCAGGGCAGCCGTTCACCTTGGGGTAACCAATGGATTAATGTCACTCTGCCCTACGCCTCTACATGTATTCCTCACAGCCCATTTCTGAGGACAGCTGCAAAGATTGCAGTAATTGCATTTAATCACATATGTGAAAATCTATCTTTTTTAAAACAATTTATTTTAATTATCCCGGCAACATCAGCAAAAACTGAATCACTGTTGGATTACACAGTTTATTATAATCATTTATTACTTTTAGTCCTCAATTTGCCAGTTCAGTATAGTTGGATGACACGTGACCTTCACTTTCACAACATTTAAACAACTGGGGAGACATCTCTTAGGTGAAAATAGGTGGATCTTCCTAAAGACATTTATGTGAAATTGAGAAAGCAAAACCGTATGCAACGGTTTTATGTTTCATATTTTCATAACGTTCTCAATTCTATCTCCTAGCTACCCCAAAAGATATGAACTCAATGCAACTCCAGCCATCCTCTTTCCCTCCACTCTAGTCCTCAATGGCAGAAACACCTTTACAGAGGAAAACTGCAAGCGCAGCAGGTATTTTTCGCCCACATATAAACTGAATCAGACCAGGCCAATAAATAATTCTTTTAATTATTTCACACAGCTACGCCTCTTCTGCGTTTCCTCTGTTCAGTAGGCCAAAGTTGAACTATCCCACCGGCTGCAACCTGCGGAGCGCTAAAGACCACCGTCAAAAGAGTGAGTTATGTTGATGCCGAGCCTCAGAGTACCTCCTCATCCATCCTTAGTTATTGAGTGTTATTTTTTGGGCTTACAGAACTGCCAGTATACAAACACTTTCAGTGTCTATGTATCGTGTCTTAGATCTCGCCCTAATCTTTCTTCTTCCTTCCATCCCTCCTTTCTCGGGTCTGTCTTGCCGTCTCTCTCTTGCCCGGGCCAGGCCAGTCCTATCCGGACCCAGTGGTCGGGGCGCCTCGCTCCTTCATCCACAGGGTGTCTGAGCTGTCCAATCTAGAGGGTGAGACAGTGAGACAAGAGAAGCTCAAGAAAAAGGGGAAACCCAAGAAGACTCCGTCCTGACAATCACCTTCCACCCAGTCGCACCGGTCAAGGGTCAAAACTTTCCAGTCCGTGCCAACAACATTCGAACCAAACGAAACATTAGGGTCGCCGTCGCGCCGGTGGCTCGGCCTGACTGCTTGTGTGTCCTCGGTGGTGTTGGTTTCCTGCTTAACGTGGCTGCTCTCCACATTTTGGGATTGCTGACCTGTTTTCTCTCTATTAGTTATGTAGTGTTGTTCACCGTGGTAAAATGGTGATGATGAATATTTTCTATTCTGACTCACAGCTGTTAGTATTTTCCCACTCGGCACAATAGCTTGTAATGGCTGTTACGTAATACTGCCATAGCTCTTTCTGTATCATGCAGATGTTGCAGATGCTGACAAGTAGTTCTATACTTTGTTAAGTAATTGGAATAACTATGTACATATTGAATAGCTTAGTGAAACCGTTGTTGTGCCCTGTTAAATGTCTTTCTGAATTAAATACATTTATTTTTCTGATTATTAATCCAGTTGTGAAGAACTTTATTTCATCTTTTGGTCATGATTTGTGTTCATTAGCTTCTCGAGGGCCAGTAAAGGCAGCGTTCCCCGTCTATTTGGCACATCTGCTGCAAATCAAATAGTGCAGTTATCAAAATGCCTAAATGATTGAGATGAAACGGTATCTGCATTCCACATCTACACAACAGATACAAAATTATGCCCCCAGATCGCAGAATGTGGCACATTCTCACACAACGCATTGTGTGGTTTGCAGAACGGAGGGCAGCTCATGTCTCTGAATAGTCTTGTTCATTTTGTTTGACAAAGACAACAGTCATGGTGTTTGTTAAGAGACAAATGAGGATTTCGTCATTATTCAAAGACGTAGCATGTAATGATTCGAGGACATTAGGTTGACTTTGTTATATTTTATCTTCCGTGAAGTCATTTGCACTCCTGGTATCATAGCGTGAAGAAGTAAAGCAGAAATATAGGTGACGTGATTTATTATATTCATTCATTGCGGATGATCGACCTGTTGCTTTTTGAGTGTGTGTGCCAGAGGATACTTTCCACATGGTGTAATGCCAAATGTCACTGCGGTGCTCAAAAGATGCCATGAAAATAAATAAATCAAAAATAACTGTCATAGTCTAGCATGTTGACCAATTTCAGGAAGATAAGTCTTTAGGAAAGGCTGAAACATGCCATGGTAGAAGGAAAAGTCAAAAAAGTGCTGCTAAAGATCATGAAATATTTCATGAAGAAAAGAATAACATAGTATCTCAATGTTTTTTCATGGGAAAAAGTAATATTTCAATGAAAAGAGTAGGAGATGAAAGTCACAGTATGTCCAAAACATTTATGAAAAATGTTACAGTATAGTATGTTAAGAAATGTATTGAAATTATAAGTCATGTGATAGAAAAAGGCCAGAAACATAACATATATATATTATAGTCTTCCAATAAGAATTTTAAAAAGTCACTGTATAGCATGTCAATATATGTCAAGAAAGAAAGTCCTGGTATGTGGTGGAGTAGATTTAGAACGCAATAATTCAAAGTGAAGTCATTCACATTCAATATTCACAGATTATTCTCACACACACACACACACACACACACACACACACACACACTATGGTATACTATGACATTTTTCATCGTGGACTTTATACAGGGATATTTCAGTGTCGTTATAAAAGCCACAGTACAGTGTGCCATGAAAATATTGTGTTGTATAATGTGTGTCACAGTCCCTGCTCATTGGCTGACACAGAAATTATACATCAGACGAGTTTAAAAGTAACAAATAAGTGTATTCATGCACCGAAATAAAAGGTCACTGACCAAACCTGAAAGGAAAGATTTATGAAAATCAACTGCAGCCTGCAACAAATCAAAAGAAAAAAACAGAAGTAGCGCCAGCAAGGGAACAACCTGAGCTCTGATATCAGAGCCACACAGGTGTGTCTCAAGTTCATGATCCGAAACCTGCAAGGCTCAGTCAACAAGACGAAAGACACAGACGCACGCCCAATGGAGTTGTCACATAATCATTGAGTACAGTGTGCCATTTATATGATTCTCCGGCAGCAAATGGAAACGATACTATAGTAGTAATAGTGTTATATTCCCCAATAATAAAATTAAGTGTGACACAAATCATACTTATGCCACAAAATTGTCCTACTTTTATGGCATATAATTAATAACAAATATATCATTAAATTGCCTCCCATGAACATAATTGGATTAAAAGTGTCCTACTATATGTCACACAAGTATAAATTACAGAATGGGCGGCGGATGGAAGCGAGGACAGTCAACAAAGGGAGGACGCAGGCATCGGGATCCGCTTAAGTTGAGGGATTCCGTTCAATATGCTTCACTGAAACGTCTCTACTAACAGTGTCTCATTTCAGGGAGCGTATCCATTAAATGCAAACGTGATGTCTAATGTTGAGCTCTGTTTGTGTTGCTCCCTCCTCGCGAAGCGAGGTGTGCGTTTCAGGGACGCGCGGTGACCTAGAAACACAGCGCCACCCCCGCCCACCGCGCTGAAGGGGTTGTATTCACGCTCGAACGGTCAGGCTTTTTAGCGTCCCTTTCCAGTGAAGTGAAACAAAATGACCTGGAACAAACAGGTCTTTAATAAGAGCTGAACTGGGGCCAGCCCACCAGCGGTTTATCGTTTCACTGTGGTTCCACTGGGCCCCTAACTAGGACGGGGCCGGACCGAGAGCACGGGTCTGTTGGTGGGAGTGATTCATTGTTGTATCACGCCTCAAATGGACGTTTACTAAGTTGTGTTACTGTTTCACCTGACTTGATGTTGTGCCGGTTGAGTCTATCAGTGTAGCCTGTCTGCTAAATTTGAACTTTCCCAATGCCTCAAATACAAAATGCCCTCAATTTGTTTGGGTCAGGATGAGAGGGAAATAGACAACGACAGAGATTCATTATCTTTTTAATTACTGTTTAATGTGGCGCTGCATTAAACGCTTATAATTGCTGTTTTCATACCAGCAATTGGCCAAATGAGTTACCTAATAATTGTAATGATTAACATTGTACTGTTTCTGCTACTCAAAACTTTTTCCTTGCCTTAAATATAAGTACATTTTCTATTTGGGGGTAATAAACTGTTGCTCAGACAAAATCAGACATTTGACGTGGTTTTGGAAATGTGTACTATTTCCTGGTAGACCAAATCCCAGTATTACATCTTCTATTTACAAAGAAATTAACATAAATTACTTCAAGCCAAGCAATAAAAATTCCTGCTTTAAAGGTCAAAAAGCGCCAACTGATTGCTCCTCCATTGTGAAACCAGTCTGGGTTCAAAAGGAGCTTGTTAAAGGATCTTAAAAAGATAGCTACGCAGTGATCACAAATGCATAATTGAGCCAACAAGCGACAGTTCCTGGTCCCATAGCAACCCGTGCGTCTGTGTATTCGAGTGAGGGACTCGGAGGTCAAACCTTTTTCTTTTCTTTTTTCCATCACAGCAAAGTCAAAAACAATGTCAAAGTCATGTCAACTAGACCTCAACATCTGCTAGCTGTTTGCATCTGTAAAAAAAAGAGATTTAAAATAATTTTATCATACGAGCTATGAGTTTGTGTCAGATGAGGAGTTTGACTTTCAACATTTCAACAACATACGTGTGGTTATTACCAGCTGAGTACATTTGACATGTGACACAACCTCAGTGATGGGTGCACGTTGTCAAACATCCGACCGCCACTCTTTAAATAGTGACTCATGCGACGTGCGTGTCCTGGCCAGACTCACTATTCACTAGGAATAAGATAAAGGACAAGGACATTGAACACATGCAGCACCAAAACAAAGTACTGAAACTAAACACATAATGTATGTACACACCTTTAAAGTCATACACACACAGCAGACATCCAGGTGGGAACATAGAGGGAGGGAGGTGAGTATTTGTGGACAAAGACTTCCATTCATGGGACAGGAACTGGCTGGACACATCGGGAAGAATCAATCTTTGGTAATATATTTGTTTAATGTCTGAGGCCATGGGTTATCTACCTTGAGTTATATGTTCAATGGATTCCAAACTTCAGAATGAGGATGAAAAAACAATGACAACTTAGAAATACTGAACCACAACGAACAAACATATTGAACATGTGTTCAACATTTGTCAACAACGATTTTGGGAACCAGACCAACCCAGGTCATCGGTTTCCACGGCGACGGCCCGGAGGGTTTGCATTCCCCACGTAGGCGAGATGGAGCCGACGCTCACCCTGCCGCCTGCCCGACGCCCAGCTCGAGGAGCGACTCATTCCCCACGGAATCCAATCACAGCGTCCACACACTAACCAGTCAAATGATTCAACTTGTGCGATTGCCACGAGATCAGCCGCCGACACGGCAGCTTGTGACCGAACACACACACACACACACACACACAGGTGGTTCGCGACCCGAAGACCCCAGCTACCACGGCGCACTCTCCCTTCCTCTCTCCTCACATGCACCGAGGAAACTCGGAGGGGGTGTGTTACTGTAGGAGAGCTGATTATCTTTGACAAGTGCCCAGCAGGGGCAGGAGGCGGGTCGGCGGGGCTGTCAGATGTAAAACACACAGGCTTTGATGTGCACTTCCAACGTGCTGGAGCCACAGCAAACTGATAAAGCTGGAGGACCCGCACCACCAGATAAGATCAGATAAGCACTGAAAATACAGTGTGTGTGTGTGCCAGTGCTCGTGTGTTTGTGAGCGTTTCAAACAGACACCTTCTCAAAATTAGTGAAAATAAGTTGTTTCATTGGGGGATCTTCTGCTTCAAAGGTCAACCTGGGTTCAAGCCCCTCAAACTTGACTATACACCGATTCAGACACATGCTCCTCAGTGATGCTGCCGCGGATGATTATGGTGAAAGATGAAGGCTGTTATTGTCGCTTGACCGACCCGTTAATGGTGAGAAGACAAATCAAAAGGCACAAACGGACCCCCCCCCCTTCTACGAGAGCAGAAGGAAAAGCATCCAGATTATTACAACTATCGCCTCTTTCTACAGCAGTAGTTATAGAGAGGGGGGAGGGGGGGGCTCATCCCCCGCTGAAGCTCCCTGCAGAGGCCTCATTTGTTTCCCATGAGATGAGGGAGGGGCGGCTCAAATAAAATCTGACCTTCAGGAGTTCACAACATCCTCAGACCTTCAGGCTCCTTGAGCAAACACAACATAAAACACACGTTTTTCCATCCGTTTCTTTCAAATGAATATTCATGAAGGGACGCTTCCTTTTAAACAGTGGCGTGAAAAATATCTGTTGCACTGCATGAAAGTAGGGCAAAGTGGCAAAATGTTACGGCCTTTTATTAATTGATCAGACATACTCGGTGTGTACTTTGTACTTTAAGCGTGTCTGAATCTCATGGTAGTGATAATCAATAATACTAATGAGATAAGATTGTCACGGACGTGCCTCTCCAGAATTACAGTATGAAATTAATCTGTCAAGAGTTATGACATGAGGCCCACGCCCCGCTCTGCAAATAGTTACGCTGCGGCTCCAGCTCACGGACCCAAACTCTAAAAATACACCCGCGGTCGCTCGGGTTCGCTTAACCGCTTTCGATTAACCGCTTTCGATTAATAGCACCTTCCTGTTGCGGTGCGAAGTTAGAAGCTTCAGCCAAGAGACAGTCATCTTAGATTGGCATGAAGGCGAGACACTGTGGGAAACGGATAAGCTAATTAACTAATTTAATTAAGAATCTTGTCGTCTTGGAGATTGCTTAGCCATGAAAATTTGCTCACAAAAAAGCTGTTCTTGTAGGGGATACTCCTATTTTTTTTTTTTTTGCCCACAGGTGCTTCACCTTCTTTATGCTAAGCTAAGCTAACCTCCCTGTATATACATATTTATATAACAATATTACGGGTATCTGACTTCCAATAAAGGTTGTAACCCAAAATATCAACAGCTAAATAAAACAGCAGATAACTTATTCGGCTGATCACGTGAAGGTATGAACGAAGCAGAGTGCGCATTCTTTTAAAGATTACAGTAATCTGGAGGAGAACAGGAAAAGGAGAGGTGAGAACCAACAGGGGGGGCTCTGCAACGCTCGGCGGCCCCCTGGCACAATTGTCTGGAGACCTGCCAACCGCTCACATTCCTGCCTTTCTTTTGGGACTCAGAGGTCCTGAGTGGCACAGTGGCATCGGGGGGCACACTAAACCTGCAAGGAGAGGTCAGCAAAGAAAAACCTGGTAAACAACAATAATGTCTTATTGTAGGTGAGAACACAGGGAGAGAGAGAGAGAGAGAGGGAGGGAGAGAGACTCTCACCCCTCCCCTGCCCTCATTCTCTCCTTCTGTGTGCGATCAACTGAAGGGAGGTGCTCAGATGGGAACAAGGAAAGGGAGTCACCAAGCCCCGAGGGAGAGGACTCGAGCGCACACACACACACACAAATACACCGTAGGAGAGACATGGGAGTCTGATGAGCGGCGGAATGGGTCCTTCTGAACTGTAGGTTCACGTTTGTGGAGAGGACAAACGGAAGGGGCCGGACACGGGAGACGGACACAGGAATTCCAGGTCACAAGGGCTCCCGTGGCTGGAGCGGGACTCGGCCGGGCTCAAGGGTCTGACCTGACCTGACCCCCTCCTCCTCCTCCTCCTCCTCAGGATGGGATCCCCTGTGGCGTTCACGTGTCTGCTGGTGGCGCTCTCCACCCTGGGAGGGAACCACTCGGTGTCCGCGGGCTGTTCCGGCCGATGCTGCCGGGGCAGAGACCTCAGCTGTCTGACCACCGGCTGGAGGATGGACCGCACGCACGGGACGTGCTACTGCGACGAGGGCTGCGCGAGGACCAGGGACTGCTGCTTCGACTACTTCACAGAATGTCCAGGTGAGGGGATGAATGGAAAAGGGAGGGAGGGAGGGGGGCGTTTCCTGCGTGAATGAGTCACAAGTGAACTGTGGATACCGGTGGCAGATAACCTGTTGCATCAAGCAACCCTTTGCTAGAGATGGATTAGCAGACAGGAGATAGCGGGAGAAGCAAAGATTGTTTTGGGTTCATAAGCCGGTTGGCGCTTTCTTGGTCTGGCACTAATCTGTTCCAAATTCACCCAAGGCATGTGAAATACTTTTATGGTTTAACTCCACCTCCCGACTTGTGCTGTGTACTGAAAACAACGAGGTCTCTTAGTTTTTTCTTTTTGGAGCAAACAGAACCACCATAACCGGTTCACCAAAGAGCAGCTCTGGGTCCGAGCGAATTTCAGCCGACCGGCCCACATACTGGAATTAGTTCAGAAATATTTGAAGAATGTGATTCTGTCAATCAGTTGCAGCAATTACAGTTCAAGGCACACAAGCCGAGCGCACCTAATGTGTGTCATGGGCCGATAAGAGGCTAAATCCGCATGCTCAATGCATCAAAGCTTGATCGCTGGCAGAGTGGGGAGCTACTGAAAAGAAGAAAAAGAAAAATCACAGGACTCGGTGATTGAATGAATGGGCCGCTCACTCGGCATCCTCTCAAACCATTAGGAGCAGGCAACCAGTTCAACCAACGCTTCGTTGATCTAAGGAAGTTATTAGCTCCATTACACTGCTTCACCGGAGCATCGTCATCATGCCGTCTGCAAGAACGCTGCTGCACACGTTAGACCAAACCAACCAGTTTTGCCGTTGGGTCCAATTTCCACGAGCCTCGCCGCACTTTCATTGGGGCGCCCTGTCATATCCCCTCTCTCCCACAACATCCAGCTCAGGACTGCGCCGTGAGCGGCTGGAGCTATTGGAGCGGCTGTGCCGCGGCCTGCCAGGCTTCAGTGAGGGTCCGGGTGCGTCACGTGGAGCAGCGGCCCAGTAACAGCGGGGAACCCTGTCCCAGTCTGGAGCAGCGCAGCGGCTGCATGGAGTACAGAGACCGCGGGGGGGTGCGCTGTGTACTGAACTCAGGTGCGCGCGGTTGCGACCCTTCCTTTGGATTACTGCACCTTCAATGTGTTTAGCCTCCACTAATGTTTTGTCATCAGGTCCCGCGTTCATCACCAGCATGGAGTTTGGAAAGGGAAGGCCGAAGCACGACAACTACGGAAACCCCCTGGACCCCGGGTAGGTTTCACCTCCACGAGTAATCGGAAATCGATCAATGCAAGAGTTGAAAAGTTCACAAACGCTGCGGAGGGTTCACTGTATTTTAGCATTAAGCTGTGTAACTTAAAAAATGGAGATAGCAGCTCAGCAAAGTCCCCATGTACCAGTAGCTGTTTGCTCACCTGGACGTCTGTCTACAAATCATTAAATAAAGCAAATGCTCACAGGCGGCCTGCAAGCCTTTGGCATCGAGTATCATACTTCAATAAAGGACTGTCACATGAAAAGCACACACGCACAAAGGGCTTAGATGACAGCGTGCGATGTATTGTGCGCAGTTCGCTGGGTCCCCATTGGTGGAATTATCGTTCCCTTTTCACACTCCATTGACTGGTTTGTAACATGATCCCCGTGTCAGTAGCCACACTGGGTGCCGACAGCCTTCGCTTTAGTCCTCCAGCTTGATTCACAGGTCTTAATATCTCACGAGCGGCCTCGTGACCCTGCATCCACTCCCCTCAGGTTCTGCGTGGAATTCACGCTGGAGACCCGGACGCCCCATTGTACAGTGGAGAACCGGCCACACACGCACTGGATGCGCTACATAGCAGAAGGATTTAAAGTGTGTGTGGCGTGTGAACCTCCTGCCATGCACAACAGCGGCAGCTGCCAAGGCGACGGTCTGGAATCGGAGAAGTATGAACCTTCATATGAATCTACAACGTTCATACAAACCTGGACTACAGATTTAATTTAATTTTATCAATACCCCTTAATATGAAATCTAAAGTGAAAAATAATCTGAACGCTCGCGAACATTAAGGGGGCCGTGACTGTGTGTTGCAGAGAAGCTTTGCTCCACTGGCAGGCGGTGGGGAACCATCAGTGCAGCGGGACCTGGAAGAAGATCCGGAGAACGCAGCGCTGCACCTGTCCGCCGCAACACAGCTTCGTCTTCATCTGACCGCGGACACGCCGACCGGGCGTCCCCCACGGTGACATTTCACAGCCGGGCCACCGCCTTTGAATGGCATCGCGACTCGAAAGAGGAGGCACTGAAATGTTGTGTCTTATAAAATACTATGCTACTGAGATAAGTGTGTTTAACTATTACCGTGTGCACGTCGCCACTGTTCTGCGTTACTTTACAGCTCACCATGTAAGGACGTGTTTGAAACTTGTTCAGTATTTCACCCTTTTTATTACACATTAAGCAGCTATCAAAGACATTTTGTAATCATTTGGCGTCGGGCCAACACCCCCGAACTGTTACATTATTGGACGATAAAGTACAGCCTCTCGTACCTTATTTCTTTAACACAACATACTTATAATAGTTAATACAGCGTCGTGCCGCCTTTCTAGCTTGAACAGCTTCTGTAATAACTCACGGTTATCTTAATTAGCTTTTATATGCAAGAAAATAAAATATCTGTGCACACAAGTTAATAAATCTCTTTGCTCCTGTGGTTTTTATTGACTATTGATTTCCTCGAGATTAAAGTATTACTTGTAGCAAAAAGTCTGCAGTGTAAATGATTTGGATTACTTTAACACAACTGGAAGATGTTCTTCTCTCAGGATGAAATAGATCAGGCATCATATCTTCCTAAATGTAAGGATATATTATATCGGTACATATGTTGGCTTGACGGTCCCTTTATTTTCCTGCTTATATTGACGTCATGTTTGCAGCAGGTGCAAATGAGACGAGCTGATTAGGCACGAGTGCACAGTTTGTCCACTGTGACGGAATGTGTTGTTTTGTGTATTTAATTGGTTTGTATTTCATGCACGAAAAGCGGCAAACGAAAAGAACTTAAGATCTCCTGTCATTTGCGTTAAGAAAACGAAATCCACGTGTCTGCAGCTCAATTGCGGCTGAGGAATCTACGCCAACGAAGGAACGCCGCCACAACCTTATTTATCTGCATTCGACATGTCTCCGGGGTATAAGACTTTCACTTTTGCAGGTCGTGGAGGTGCAGGTCAAAGCTAATGGCGAAAACAATAGTTAATATGTTGCAAGGGGTTAAATTGGTGAGGGAGTTTTCCACATGTGAAGTAAAGGCTGCGGAATGCCTTAAATATCAAATGCATCCCTTCATAGAAGGCCACGGACTGAGCTCAATTCCTAAATATGTGTTCAGAGCCCTCTAGTGGCACATTGTCTCAGTACAAAAACAATAAAAAAGCAAGACACTGAAGACACAAAAGTAGCATCTTCAGAAAATAACTTACTACTACTTGCTGATAAAGGTTACGTCGAAGCCTTTTTTTACAGGTGCATTGCTACGATTGCTGCGAATTTAGAGAGTGGCTCTCCTTCTTCAGCCAACTTTATGCGCCTTCATCAGAACCCTCCAGCGGTCTTTGAGCATCGTGCCAGTGCGTCCCTCAAAGTCAAAGTCCATTAATATGCGGGACCAATTCCCCTGTCCGTGGCGCTTGACTCCAATCTGAAGGCATGTGTCCAGCCGGCTTGTCCACTTCTGGACAAAGAAACATGGGGAATTCAAATCTCAGAAAACAGACCCGAAGGCAGAATTTCAGTGACGTAGCATATATTCACTTGGTACAACTTACCTGGGGCCTTTTTCTTGTTTTTTTATTCTTCGACGTGTCCACTGACTTCGGGGATGTCATCATCAATAAGTCTAATAGTGGGAGGTTTAACATTATTTTGATTAAAAAAAAAAATATTGTCATGCAAGGAAATGTGCGAGACACAATGTGGTGGTTTATGGAAAGGAAAGATTAAACCAACCGTTCTTGGACATTCTCCTGAGGGAGACAAACGACTCCTTGCATGAATCCGATTGCCACACATCCAGATTTTTTGTGGACAGTAGTTTCCGTTTTGTTCTGTGGAAGTGCCACATAAACATTTGTAACGCCACAGCTGGCTGAATATCTGCTTCTACCCCATCATTCAAACTTCCCCTTTTAAAGACAGAAATGTGCTAAATAATGTTAATTTATACACAGACTTCAATAAGCAAAACAGAGGTGATTTCCTACTTTATGTTCCCTGTTGATCGGCCGGCTTCTTCCGACACAAAGCGGTCCTTTGTCACCTCCGAATCCTCAATGAGAGGCGACGACTGCACAAAGTTTGTGGCTTCCTGATAGAAGAGGCCGACAAAAACACAGCAGATATTACCCCCCGATGCTTATCCAAAGCTTTACACTTCTGAAGTGTTACTAGTGAGGTTTGAGCAGAAATGTGTGTGGGTTTTGGAAGTACCCAGAAAATGACTGGGTAAATACGACTTGGATTATAACTTCACAAATGTTTTTATAGTAGTGGAGGCCTGCAAAAAGAAGAAAGTTTTCCTCAAGATGAAGCTTTTGATTGACAAATGGTCATTTTGTGGGTGAAGTATTCCTTTAAGTATTGCTATAATGTCAAAGCTAAATTAACGCGGCCTCATTAGAATGCCCTTCTAGGCTCAACCTTGGCCAGGACTTCTCTGTGAATCATATTCTAAAACGTTCATGCACAAGCAGGTCTGAAGACGACTCTTTTCAAGACATTTGGATGAAAAACTGTCACTTAACTATGAATGATAATGTCACATCTGACATTGGGAGGACGACGTTCTAGCTGAGGGGCACAAGAACGAGAAAATAGACGGATTGCGCTGTTGAAACTTGCCGTTAGCCGTGGCAAAATATTGGTTGCCTGATGCCAGTTAAATCACGTGTAACCGGAGATATTCTCCACCTCAAACAGCAAAAATATCATTTTGTGAGAAAGGATGGTATCATCCTCCTGGTTGATGTCTTGCATCAGTAAGGAATGACCTTTTGCAGCTACTTTTTCAGTTCTTTAGTATCAGCCGTGCAGGGCAAGTCTCACATAAATGTTTACTCTCCTCATAAATAGACTAAATTAATGTAAATCATGGGGAAAAAGAATTCCAAGTAACAGTGTCAGACGTGTGTTGCCTTTCTGCACAACTTGCAGATGTTATGCTGAACATAGTCCATATGATGAAACACATTGAGGTTAATACTGACAAACATGAAATTAATTAGCAATTATTTTGGGGGCCACAGATAGATGTGGGTTTGGCCCTTTGTCAAAAGCTGCTCTATACATTTGACGCGCTGGATAATTGAACTCAAAAGGTTTTCCAGCACACTGGCTCCGGTCCTGTACCTTTAGAAGGTAGTCAGAGGGATTCTTCTCCAAATAGGCGTCCAGGTAAGACTTGATGGTCTCCAGCAGGCGGCTGAAGCTGAAGCTCATGAGAAAAGGGTGGTAGGTTTCTCTTCTGGTCACTATTGTAGTCAGCTTGACTATCAAGTTCTGTTGAAAAATAATAATATTAAAGTAAATGATTCTAAGGAAATATACTAATATATATATATATTATAGTATTGAGCCAGTGCTTCTGAAAAGTAGATACAAACCTGTGGGAATTCACGGTTGTTCGCGTACCACCTGAGGGCCGAGGAAGCAGACGATAGTTTGCCTTTCTCCAAGCACAAAGCCACAGACTGGAAAGACGGGCAAAAGCATCGGAATCGGACTCAAAATGTATACAAAGGCCTGAGTGACATCCGGCCTTTAAGCAGCCTCCAGAAGTCACCTTATTCCTTCAGACACACTTAAAGTCTGGACGAGTCCCCCAAAAATGAGTTGATGCGATTACCTGGACGACCAAAAGCTGGGTGATGTTTTTGGACAAGCTTTTGTCTTTCACAGTGCTTTTTAGGTCCGGCCACATTTTGGCAGCAGACATCAGGGGCATCACATCGGCTTCCTCCTCAAACTGGACGTCTGACAACAACATTACACGCTTAAAAACAGGCCTTTGACATCTGTACGATGCAGAAAGATGCTTCAGAGAGGCCTGAGCCAGCTGCCGACCCCTTACCCAATTCATTCCCATGAATGACTCTTGCAAGGAAGGCACATATCATCGTTTTCTCATGGTAGATATTTCCTTTCATTTTGGGGCAGATTTCTAAAATAAAAAAAAGTAAACACAATTTTATTTTCAAAAATCACGTTAGCCACTCGGTCTACGACAGACTTTAGATAACTAGCATTAACAGATAACACGCTAAATAGCTAACGTTAACTAACGTTAAAGCGTTGTTTAAGTTACTTTAACGCCGTTAAAAGAATGACACGATCATTTTTGATCAATAGTTTTGCTGGATAGTTTAAAACTGGCCGATTTAGTAACCGGTTGCCGTTAACTGACGTTACAACTTACCCTGGAACGTCGAAAGCGTTTCATTGAATTCATCAAATTGACCATCCTTGAATCGCCGACACAGACTTACGAACCAAAAGTCAAAGATCCACCGATTAGCAACGGCGGTAACTTGGGAAAAACGGACACTTTCATCGCAATTGATCGCAGCCGCAACGTTTTCGCGCTCCACGTTAATATCATCTTCCATGTTTTTCTTTTTGAGTTTCAAACCCATTTCCGCTTCCTCTTCGTCGTTCTCTGCGCCGTTGCTGACTTCCCGCCTCTCGACTCCCCGCCGCGCCCCCTGGCGTCGGGAGGAGCGACCAACGGAAAGCGTTTATTATTGACCAAAATACACACTTCATTTCCTCCTCTTCTTTTTTTTTTTTTGGGGGGGGGTTGATTAGTCTTAACAGTTTCAGATGGCACCTTGTTGGGATTCCTTTTGTTCTATTGAGTCAGTCTACACGTTTGCAATTTACAATACTGAGACAAGCTGTGGAAATTGGATCCAAACATCCCCCACCGACCTGTTCCCACAAGTGGAACGTTATACATGCTGTTATTTGAATCCTATGTGACACAATCACTGATACAGCCTACAGATTCTACAATAAATACAGCGACAATGGTCCAATAGACATCTCTATAATGCACAGCATCTTCTCTTCTAAAGTGCTTACATGCCAGAGATTCTAGTTTGGAATTTTTGGCGGGCAGTTTAGCAGTAGTACACAACAGAAACTTGGAGATCCATTATTTGCATCTATTGGGATGCGTTTCTCTGCACTGATCAATTGTTGCTGAGTGGTCTGACTTCTTGCTGCAAACACAGTGTCAATCAATGCATTTAAAAACTGATATATTTGTCGCATTCTATGCAATGGTTCCTCAACAAGCATGCCGGGAATGCTATTTAGTTTCTTTGTAAAGTAAAGAACACCAGAAACACATGAGTTATATACACATTTATTTGTTATTCTGCATATGCTAATAGACGTAATGGGGAACAATGCTCTACAGAAATGTCGACATACATGAACCAAGTGTTCTGTGGTCACATAATTGTTCTTCTCGACTACTACATGCATAGGCCTACAATGACGTTGCTTCATACGGAAACAATCCGCAGCTCAGAATGTGTCTAATGACGATGCTCTCTAAAAGTTAACCAGAAAACAGAAATCAAAAACCGTAAGAGGCAGAATACACAGAGACTTAAGAAGAAACAATGAAGCGTTATGCATTTCAGGGAGCAGGGTTTGGTAAGCACGTATGAGTGACACAGACGATACACATTCTCCCAGAGAAAATAAAGACACAGCCTTTCCACTCCATCACAGAGGATAATACCACTGTTAGACAGTAAGACAGAGCCGTCGTTTCCCTATCAGCTCACAGGATTCATTTCAGTATCCACACAAACATCATCCCGAGGGAATTCATCTGATGAATCCAAAATCCCTTGTCTCTCTATCTGTCAAAATGAAGAATAACTTGAGGCTATCACAAGAAGACAGGATGACTACAAACAAGGGATGAAAGTAAATATGTTAAAGTGAACGTACAGGTACAGAAAAAATAGTTGGTAGAAAAAGAAAAAAATCCCTTCAACCTAACGCTGATCCCGCATTTTACTTTGGAGAACGAAAAAAAAATCTGGGTTTCCAATGAGGGATCAATCGTTTAAAAGAATCTGAATATTTGATAAGTTAAATTATGTTGATGTGGGCTCACAGTATGCACACGGACACAAATAAAATATGGACCACAGCTGATCACCGATATTATGGAACCACGACAGCTTCATTTAATCTTGGGCTTCCTTTCACCCATTGATCGGTGACTTGGACGCTAAGTGCTGTCAGCTTGGGAAATCATTTTGGTGACAAGAGGGATCTGTTCCTGTATGTATATGGTCTGTTAGACATTCCCCGTCTGTCTATTTATCCTAAACTCTAACAGACCAACTGCTGTGCCTTTGTTGGGGAATCACTGAGGACTGAGGACTGAGGAGGGGGGGGGGGGGGGGGGGTACTAAATGGTGGTGCACGGATTACCCAGGAGGAGGGAGAAATATTGCCGCTCCTCCTTACTCCGGGAGCCAAGACATCAATGTGGATTTGACAACATCACCTTTTTGAAAAAGTACAGAAGTAACTACTTGACAATAGCTGTTAAAGAACAAAAAAAGGAAAATCTATCCAATCAGAACATCAGTTATAGAAAACCTGAGAACTCAATAACATTACTTGTGTGTGTTACATAAAGACCTGATTTCTCCTACAAAATTAGAATTTTCTGTACAGTGCTATATGAACAAAGCAAAATGACTTGCTACCTTCTCATAAACAGCAGTGTTATGAAAAGGCACGCATCATTTCAACCACCATATGGCAGGAAATTGTGGTCGTGCTCCATTTTGGTTTAGAAAAAATAGAATTATTCTCAATTCACAAAAAACATAAAATCCTTTGTGTGGCCATTGGAATTAGATTATCTTAATATATTCCTCAGACATTTATTAGATTATGTAAATCTAACAGCAATATAAAAGGCCCAAAGGGGTCAATTTGGATCCGTGTTCCCACAGATAATCAAATCGGAGGTCCATTGGTATCTGCCATTAAGATGCCAGCCATTTAATACGAAACAGGAAAAGTCAAATTCTCATTTGCATTGTTTGTTGAGATTATGGTAGTTGTAATACTGTTTTGCCTCGTATTAAAGATATAACATTTGAAAAATACAAGTAATTTCTGCCTGTACACTTACAAATCGCATAGACAGAAAATAAAGTGCCACAATTCTTGGCCTGCATAGATTGCAGTATGCGGTATTGCACATTCCACACCTCTCTGTGAGAACACAAAAACATGATAATAATCTGGAAAAAGAAAGAAAAACAATCAACAAAGAAATTGATAACACAATAACTGTCAGTACCATTTAGGTTTGTGTGGCTTTGACAAACACACTGCTAGTACACTCATCCAAGTGTCGTGCTGAAATGATAAATAAATATTCCAGCAATAAAATTGGAATTGAAGGCAACATACAACAGATATCTCAGTCAGTGTAAAAGAAAAGCGAGAAAGAAGAAAAGAGAAAAAAAGGACTCCTTTGGGTTTAAGTTTGACTGAAAATAGTTTTGTTCACAATAAAACACAATAAATAACAGTCCAAGACACTAAGGGTATACAAAAAAAGATGCCTTAAACTTGTCCACAGAATGGGATTAACTTGCAGTAGTATTGAAAAAATGTCAATAACAACATAAGGGCGCTGAGGATTGGACAATGAACACGATGCAGGTAAACAAACCATAAGGAAAAGCAAAACAGAACCCATAACTACCGTCATAATACATGTTTTTACTGTATATGTTACTATGCAGTGGAGATAGCTGAAATCTTGTCAATGTGCTTGATTTGGTCCAACGATATCAGAAGGAATATTAGGATTTTATGTCGTATTTTATCGCTTTTAAATTGCCAAAATAGACAATTATGGAGTAAAGAATATATATTTATATATATGTGTGTGTATTAATGACCAGATCTACTGTGCTGAATAAATAAATATTCTTAACCCTTTTTATGGAATTATGGTATGGAATCTACCGTAGATGTTTTTTTTACAACCGATCTAGACCTACGTATTTCATAATTTATTCTTAAAACCCCTTTAAGATGTATATATATGATGTCGGGGAATAAATAGAATTTATTTTGTGACTTTGATTCAAAAGACTTGGAACAAGGAACTAAACATGTCAAACCTTGTTCCAACTTCTGACACCACGTAATATATATTTTAAGTAGCAGTAGTACCTGTCCTTACTAGTTACATACATGTTTGGCAACTACAGGCGTGTTCGGAGTGGAGTTTTTCAAAAACTGAATATTTGATGCACAACGGAAAGTTCAACAGTTGTTATGAAAACCAAAAGCAATAATGTTAACATTACAATTTCATACACCATTTTTCACACGATAAAACAGGTTACAGGGTCATCATGGGAACACTTTGCATTTCCACAAAAGGTAATGATATGTTTTTTTTATAGGTTGCTACGATGCAACACCCAGTCTGGGGGCTCTAACCCCCCCCATCTGTCCCTTTCACATTACAAATAGTTGTACCTTCGGTGACAGTTATCCAATACCTCCCTGTGCATTGTCATTGCTTTAGATGTCCTAGTATTTACAGTGGAGCGCTTTCAGCAAACTAAGCACCGTAAAATATCTGTCTTTTTTAAATGCATGCTTTTTTACAGATAAGTCCCTCTGTGCATTTCCTTCTTTTGCTAGAAAAAGGAGACCGCTGTTATGTACATCGGCAGGACCGAAATGTCAACACGAGTCGATGAACTCTCGCTGTTGTTCAAGATCCTCCTCTTTGAGCCCACTGTTTGCCCCAGGGTCATTCTCAAATCTGCACGGAGCACTGCAGTCTCTCTTTCAGCAAAACACAACGACACAAGTAAAAGGGACCTGTCATGCCATGCAAAAATATCCTTCACTGCAACTAAACCCTTGTCTTTCCTCTCCTGCTCTCACACTGAGGTTGCAGTGGGTCCATTGTCCCTCGGAGCTTCTCCTCTTATCACATCCTGGTTTCACAAATCGGAGAGAGGCTTCCATCCCCGGGTATCAGGTGGATATCGGTTGTAAACATGTGGTTCTCTACTTTGTGTCCACTTTGGTTGCTGTCGGCATCGACTTCCCCGCCTGCCCCGACCACACCTTGGGTGCAATTTTGTGCTGCCGCCGGAGACTTTGGTCCAACGGCAGCTCCCGCCACCTCCATCCGGTGCTTCTCCTTGTGGTTTTCTGTGGCTTGATCTTCATCGTCAGGTGGGGTGTCTACCACCAGCCTCTTAGGTGCCAACAGGCAGGTCTCCTCCTCTGCGACTTGGAGCACCTCCTCTGCACCGCGGATGAGCGGGGACGTCTCTCCCTCTGGGGTGTCGTCTTCCAGGATGCTGGAGCTGATGTCTCCGGGAGAGGTAGTGCTGGGCGGTGTCGGCGGACCTTCAGCAGAGGTCTTGGTGAGGTTGACCTTCAGCGGGTTATTCCCTCGTGGAGAGCTCAGGATATTCTCCACAGCGCTATTAAAGCTCTCCCCTTCCTTTACGGGGAGCTTCAATCCGTCACCTGGGTGAACGGACTCATAGAGGCCATCTCTGCGCATGGCGCCAAGGAAAGTGTGCTCATCAATGGCCCTCAGTTGGCTTAAATCAAGATG